CAACACGCCACTCCGACACGCGTGTTGGATTTCATATAAAACCACCCAGTGGTAATGAGTAGACTCTAAGACATCCAGCGCGTCCCTATTTCCCTCGAAGCACTTCGGAAAGTCAATCACTGCAGCCTACGACGCGACCTCAGCGAAATCCGGGGTTCAACGCATCATTGTACCTAAAAAACATTCGGCGCTGTGGCACTGATCATAATATTTCACATGCTTACGTCATACTACGTCATCATTACGTCACGCTTGTTGCCTGAGCGCAGACTGTTTTCTTAGGTCGAAACATATATTCAGCTTGGTCTGCTGGGCAAGTTGGTAAGTGACATTCATATTAAAAATTGCGCAAAAAAAGGCGTTTTAGTTGACAGTTAGGGCTTTTCCTGTGTGCTTCTTTCTTCTTTTTGTGTGTATTTTTGCGCTATTTTTAATGTGAATATATTCCGCCGTGTCCTGCTCCGATCATTCTCCGTAGATCGCATCGGTTGGCACTCTCGCGTCCTTTTGCGGGAAAGTAGACGTACTAGGCTTTACTTGTTTTTGCTTGCAGAAGAACAAGCAAACAAGAATTATACCGCCTAGAGATCTCATGTCTGATTTGAAATTGGTCTGAACTTGCCGTTGATTTAGCGATTCGAGCAGATTGAATGCTTGGCCTAAGAGGTACACATCTAATCTAACATATGTTAAATGAAAGGTGTAGGATTTAAACGATGCAAAAGAATGGTTTATGCCGACACAAATCAAAAATATAGCTCGTGTTTTTTTGTGTTTTTTTTAACGTCAGGGTGTATTTTTTTTTTGTCTTTTCTAACGAAACTGAAATTAGGCGTTTTTACAAGACGGGTGTTTATCTTCACTAAAGTGTAAAATGTTCAATTGAACACACATCCGTTCAGTCTTTCTACGCGTATGTCCGATTCAAATAAATGAAGCAGCAAACCGCAAATTTTTCTTCCTTTTTTTTTTTTACAATACATAAAATTGGTTTGACTTACATGGATGATAATATTTTTATCCGCTTTAATACTCAATCATTCACACAGAAATATCGATTCTCCTCTACACTACCGAGAGTCACATTTTGTGAAAAATTGCGAAGCACTGTGTAAAGTAACTCATTTGTGCGTCCAAATAAATTTGCTGCGAAATGCCGATATAATAAATTTGCTGCGAAATGCCGATATAATAAATTTGCTGCGAAATACCGATATAATAAATTTGCGGCGAAATACCGATATAATAAATCGTTCTGCAGGTCAACCAAATTATTTAAAGCGGCCCACGTTCCATCGCCCAAGCGTGACATATTTGGCAACTCGGAGGAACGGTGTGTCAGTCCAGTTGAGCCCAGTCCTTTTCTTTTATCGATATTCGATTTTCTCGACGCGTCCAGCCCCTTTTCGGTTGTGAAGTTTTCTGGTTTAAAACGTACGCACAGCCTGTGCAAAACCAGCGGAAGCACTCTGCCTTGGAAGAGTCGCCTTTCCATTGCCCACGTAAGGCACGTGGTGCCTTTTTTTTTTTTTTCCTTTCAGTTCTTAGATCCAAGATCGCCGTGTTAAACACAGCTTTCAGTTCTCATTTGTGTAGTAATTTTTCATCCGTGACATTAATTATCAATATTCCTCCTCACAAGAACTCGCTTTTCTTGGCGCGACTAAGTACGTAATTGGGACTTAGCGTGGCTATAATCATTGACAATGGTCGCATCTTCTGCGTCCTCATCGGCTCATACTGAAATATCATTGGCTGAGGAGCAAGGCTTGGGACTCGTCGCATTCGCCGTTTCTTACGTTGACGGAGACTAAATCACATGCTCGTCAAAGAATCTTTTTCAGGCCGTCCAAATCCTAATGCACAATTCGCGTGCGCGAATAGAGTGCTTTGATAGAAGACAGCCTAATGTTTGTTAAAAAAGACAATCACAAAATGCAGATTTTTTTAAAAAAATACGGATTTTAACCAGCCGACAGTCACAACACCATATAAACTATATCTTGAAATCGCTAACGTTTTGGTGAAAATAAAACAGCCAACAAAAGATTAATCAACATTCGGCTAGATTCATTGATTTTGCAATCCCATGGTGTTGTCAATCACATTAGGTCGAGGTAAATACAAAGAAAACGTAAGAGGTTAAAATCTGAGCCGGACGCGGAAATGCGAAATTACAACAATAGGTGTAGAAAACAGAAGGACAGTTACACCACAGCTATGATAGCAGAACCTCGTACCGACTGGTATGTTATGCACCCATGTATACCGCCGATGCTTCGAAGGGGTCTCGAACTCGTAACCAATGGTATTAAAGAAGCCGGCGTGTCATGCTGACGAACGTCACAATCCCGGCATTTGGTCAAAGAAATTGCAACAGCGAGTACGAGCCAACGCGAACGTCACTGCCGTAGACACATCCCAACTCCTAGATGCCTAAGCTTCTTCCATAGGCTGTCAAGCTTGAGAGCAGCCTGTAGCAGAACAGGCGTCTATCGCATTCACGCCGCCGCCAGGATTGGGAAAGGAAAGAACGTGACAGTTTCATCTCGTCAGCAGCTGGTAATCAATCGACCACCAACGTGGACGTTGTAAGCAAACCAAACGGAGGCGCGTTCCAGAGATAATGCCGAAAGACTCACTCAAAATTATGTTTATAGTTAATGGAAGGGTTTTATATTTACTTTCTTGTAGTGAGCAACAATTCAAATTATTCGGCAGCTAGATGTGCAGGCTGGCCGATTAAACATTGGGTCCTTATATTTGCTCACATTAGGTTGAGACTACCGCCAAAGCCACAAGCACTGGAGCTCGATGTGGCTGCTTTGAAGCGTTCTTCCGCAGAACGAGCACTCGCGCTAGAAATGCTCATCTCGAAGTCAGGAGCGCGGGTTAGCTCGCACTTGAAGCTTTGGCTACAGTCTCAGTTTAAGGGTGGACTATAATCCCAGCATTTGGCTAAATCTTATATGCTTTTGAGCTTCCCGATGCCTTCTTTTTTTAGATATAAATCTTCAAAAACAAACAATCTAGAACAGAAGTTTGAGACTATACGTGAGAGGTCAGCAATTCAAATCCTTTAACAGCGATAACAGCTTACACATTTGGTGATTATCTGCGCTCACATGATGATCCCAGTACAATTGTTGTAAGTTGGGCGAGTTGGTAATCCCAGTATTTTGGCTAATCGCAGTATTTTTAGATAATTTTTTGCTTTTGATCTTCCCAAGGATTTTGTGTTTCCAAAATAAATGTACAAAAACCACCCAACCAAAAGAACATTGTGTGACTATTTATAAGAGAGCATGAAGTCAGAGAGTGACACAGCAATAGAACTCTTTTATATTAAAGTTTAATTCTCGCGGAAATGTTTATAGTGCAAAAGTGTTTGTTTCGTTAATTATAACTTAGATAAAAGTTTCACAATGAACCCGATTAACCACTGAATCGCAAATATATCTTCTGGATATATAATTTTTACAGCTTTAAACTTAAGGCGTTTCATAAATAGTTTGGTACTTTGTTTATTTAGGACATCACATTCGGAAAGGTGGATCGATTTATATTATATTCATTATAAAAAGGACGCAGTTTAATTATGAAATACCACCGGCTTTGCAAGGTACTTGTGCCACCGCCCCATAGTGTTTAAAGTCTGGAAATATATAAACGAATACATTCCAGACGAGAAACATTTTACACCAAACTATATATTTGGACCAAGTTCCTCAATTAAAATCAACTCTTGGGCTAGTTGGGTAAACCTCTTAAATACAAAAGCGCAAAGTAAAAGTATCGAACAAAGATATGGACAGGTCATGCATGAAAAGGCAAAGACGAAAATGATAGGAGAAAGACGACAAATAAAATGCTAAAAGCATTCGCACAAATAATTAAAAAATTATGTGAAAATTAAAAAAAAATTATGTAAACGAACTTATTAGATTAACTAAACAAACTCACTAGAAGATAATACGAAGTTCCTCGCTTAATAACTTACAATAGAGCGATCGCTTATCGTTACATATTAGTATACTTAGCGAACTAAATTTGTTAGTTATAAAAATATCGTACGTATACTAATTGATTCACTTAATGCTTTCATATATGCTGATAGCAGCACCAAAAAGCAGCAGAGAGGAGTATTACGAATGTCATCAGGTGTCTGTTTGAAAACACAGAGTGATCCGCAGAAGAATAACATCACTTTTACTAATGCCTCAATATCTAACCCTGAAAGAGCAGTTGGAAAGCATCTTTATATGCTTCATAGAGAGAGATTGACAATTTATAAGGCGGATCTAAACAGTACCTTTAGAAGTCATTAATCTACAATTTTCCAACTAAACATTGAATTCTAAGTTTGATTAAACATGGTTTCTAACACTTCATAAATCAATGTATGCTGGTGCGCCTGCTTTCCTCTAGAGGAATTAAATAGTAAATCGTTGTAATTGTAAACAAACAAAAACGGAAAAAAATGAACTTACAACAAAAACAACGTCAATGCTGCGGCACAGAGTCTGAAACTTCACGTGCTAGCGGCAGGGTCCACTCCACGTTAAAATCTCTATAATTTGGCTAAAGCGTTCGTGATTGGGCTCATCATGTATCGAGCTTCAATAGACCTTAATGATTGACACGGTGAGTGTTATCTGGGGAGGTTCTAGCACGGCCGTTCTTTTTATTTTTTTGCTAAGAGTGAAACGACTTGGGAAGCCACATTTACACCCGCATCAAGCTAAAGCAGTTCACGTGATGGTCATCGGTCGGGGCTCGGAGCTTTTGTCTATAGTCACTAACAGAATAAGTACGCCAGGAAGAAGCTTCAAGTGTTAGACCTCCAGCGCAAGCTTCCTGCTATAAAAAACGATTCCACGACTTGTTAGCCTTAAACGTGCATAGAAACGTATTTAAAGTTATCGATGACCATTGTCTGAAAGACTGCCCTGAGCACCTTGGACTTCCGGCAAGCTTTAGGAAAGAATACGTCTTCGAGCTTACCTGTCAATGCTCATGGCCGCAATAGTGAGCGCCGACGACGCCACGGTGAGGTTGGCCACAAAGTTGCTAAACACGCAGTAAACGTCGCCGAAGGCCCAGTGACTCTCGAGCATGTACACCAGGTTAAAGATGGCGTTGAAGGTGGCCGTCATCGCGTCCGCCACGGACAGGTTCACGAGGAAGTAGTTGGTGACCGTCCGCATGGAGCGGTGCGCGAGCACAATCCAGACCACAAAGACGTTGCCCAAGGTCGCCACGGAGACCATGGTGCCAAAGAGCAGTGCGTAGATGAGCTGCACCCACCACGCGAGCACCCACTGACGCTTGGTCGACACGTCTATGATGAGAGGTCTGCTTGATGCGTTGAGGGACCCCGGTAGCAGTTCCACGTAGTTGGGAAGTGGGCTGTCAAGATCCATATCTGTGCCGTTCGTCAGTTGTTCCGGGATGTCGCCGAGCATTTTAGAGCTGCAAGGATGAGACTCACTCTGAAAGAGAAAGTCAAAAGTGATATTTTCTGCTGATCGTCTTTTATTTGGTTTTCCACGCGTAGAAGCCGACCTGAATGCCTTGGCTTATCTGCTTCCGCTGCCTTAGTTCATTGCAAACGTTCAAATGGGAATATGCTGCTTCTTGTGGATATCGAGACCAAAAGAATATGATTAAAATACTTGTCATCTTTCCTATCACTGAAAAAACATTTTAACTTTCTTTTATCATTACACTTTTCTACATATGGGAAAATAATGCCTCTAAGCTTTCGACTATTCCAAAGCGACTGTTGAAGGACGCTTGTAACAACGAAAGCAGTAAACACAAATAAAAAAAAACTCATCGAACACCAAACTCTTTGATTCGATCCTCGATCAGTTCTTTCCACAAACTTCAGAAGCAAGAAGCAAAAATAAATATTGATGCTTACTATTCAGATCTCTGGTTGGACTGGACGTCAGGCCTCAAATATTCCGCACATGCGAGCATCAACAACTTTCAAGCAGTTTGAAACACTTGCCGGGGCCAAGAGAACACCGAGCGCTACAGGAGGCAGCGTCGGGCTCGGAGCACATCGTCCTTCATCTCCGGTCGTTCGGGCCCACACTGGCGACAGAGCCTCGCGGCCTCTCGATCGACCCCACAAATCCGCCGCCAATTCCAGCAAGAGAACAGAGCGTTACGTCACTCTGTTCGCGGGAGAATTGGGAGCTTCGTGGCTGATAGAGCACCGAGCGTTTTTCCCTTCTCATTTCTTTAGGAGTGTTGCACCATTGAGAGTCTCCGAATCTCGTAATATCGAGACGGTTGCCGAAAGAAGCGAAAGTTTTGATATCTTCGAGTTAAATCTCGTATCTTCTTGAATTAAAACAAACAAGAACAAAACAGCTGACACCTGTCCTGCGCGACATCGTTAGCGCGAGCACGACTTGAGTGATACTTTGGAATATCAGTTCGAAGTAATGTCGGCGGTAATGGAATTCTACGGCGTAGGTTAGTTTGTCAAACGAATGCTTTGCAACATATCAGTTCTTTTTCCTTACATGTTTTCCAGAAAAATAAATCAAATAGGCGTTTGCTTGTTGGCGCCAACAATAGTTTTGTGGATTGCCTTGTGAATACATGCAAAACTATACCGCCTGCGTTGTTTGTTTTTTGTGTAACAAAAAGAGCAGTATTTACAACCATAAAAATTATTGTTGTGTGCATGGGTTGTGTGAATATTGAAGTTTTCATATTCTCGTGATTTATCAGGTCTTAATCACTAAAAACTGCATTGTGACACGAAACCTAAGGGGGAACAAAAGAGAACTATCTTTGAAGCCAATATCTGGAAATTAAACTCAATAAGGGGCATTCACACGAGGGAGAAATCCCGGGGATTTCTCCCCGGCACGCGCATACCAGGACGAAAACGTCGGGCTTTGCGATGTGCAAAAGCCTCGCGTTTGCATCTCGTGATGCGCGCGTGCCTCCCTCGTGTGAATACCCCTATAGAAACATTGAACACGCACACAAATTGCATTGTTTTAGGGGCGAAGCTCCTTAAGGGGTATTCACACGAGGGAGAAATCCCGGGGATTTCTCCCCGGCACGCGCATCCCACGACGAAACCGTCAGGCTTTGCAATGTGCAAAAGCCTCGCGTTTTCATCTCGTGATGCGCGCGTGCCGGGGAGAAATCCCCGGGATTTCTCCCTCGTGTGAATACCCCTATAGGAACATTGAACACGCACACAAATTGCATTGTTTTAGGGGCGAAGCTCCTTAAGGGGTATTCACACGAGGGAGAAATCCCGGGGATTTCTCCCCGGCACGCGCATCCCACGACGAAACCGTCAGGCTTTGCAATGTGCAAAAGCCTCGCGTTTGCATCTCGTGATGCGCGCGTGCCGGGGAGAAATCCCCGGGATTTCTCCCTCGTGTGAATACCCCTATAGGAACATTGAACACGCACACAAATTGCATTGTTTTAGGGGCGAAGCTCCTTAAGGGGTATTCACACGAGGGAGAAATCCCGGGGATTTCTCCCCGGCACGCGCATCCCACGACGAAACCGTCAGGCTTTGCAATGTGCAAAAGCCTCGCGTTTTCAACTCGTGATGCGCGCGTGTCGGGGAGAAATCTCCGGGATTTCTCCCTCGTGTGAATACCCCTATAGGAACATTGAACACGCACACAAATTGCATTGTTTTAGGGGCGAAGCTCCTTAAGGGGTATTCACACGAGGGAGAAATCCCGGGGATTTCTCCCCGGCACGCGCATCCCACGACGAAACCGTCAGGCTTTGCAATGTGCAAAAGCCTCGCGTTTTCATCTCGTGATGCGCGCGTGCCGGGGAGAAATCCCCGGGATTTCTCCCTCGTGTGAATACCCCTTTAGGGGCTAGCCATGTCCGTATGTCCGTCCGCCGTCGGGCGCACGTGCTCCTGCTCGTGAGCCCACGCGCTCACGCGCTCACGAGCACGTCAGCACGTGCTCCCGTGCTCGTGTAGGGCAAAAAAACAACAACCGCATCTCCACGTGGTGAATGATGTTGATTGGGGCGAAGCTCTGGTGGTGCTTGTCTGCGTAGACGGTGAGCCGCAGCATGCCGAGCCTTTCGTTCGTTTTCATCGAGAATGTGTGGTATGGAACGTGGTTATATACGCATTTGAGCATTTGACCGCAGCGTGACGTGGATGAAAACGAACGAAAGGCTCGGCATGCTGCGGCTCAGCGTCTACGCAGACAAGCCCCACCAGAGCTTCGCCCCAATCAACATCATTCACCACGTGGAGATGCGTTTTTTTTGTGTTTTTTTTTTTCTTACTTGTCTTTTTTTATTTTTTATGAATGCCCGTGTGGCTGTAGGTTTATTTTGAGCGTAATTAATTTCACATTTGTTTTAGCCATTATAAAGTAATTTACGACTCAAATATTTTCTTTTTCTAATAATATTATTAAATTTTACTTGATCTCACTATTGTTTGTAAGTAGTACTAGCCAACTGTTGCTTATCATGTGCTTATAGCTTGATCATTTTCTTCGACCAACTTTTTGACATCATTTCTTTCGCTTCTGGCAAATAACCTAAACCTTATAGTCGAAATGTAAAATACGTTTTGGATTCAAACCGAAGTACATATTGTCGCCGAAAGAACAAAGCCGTTAAAAATGCACTCTTTCAGCTATTGAAAACAAACATTTCCTTTCAATTTGTGGTTTGGTAAACATTATACCAATACTTTGAGCGAAAAAAGAATTGACTGCAATTTTTTTCATTATGAACCTTTTAAAGAAAGCCTAATTGCTTATTGAATTCAATTTAATTCAATGTTTATTTTCGCGTGCTTACCAACAGCTCAAAGGCCTTTGCGGTAAAGTACGAACCATAAAATACATATTCATGACAAATATCTATGATTCAAATTATACACATGTTTTATAACTGATGCATATGGTTTACATTTATACACATGCAAGCATTTTAGGCAATTTTAGAGCAACGCTGTACAAACAAGAGGCAGTTTTCTACAAAGAATATCAACATTGCAAAACTTCGTGTCTAAAACATGTTGAATTCGTGATATCGGTGACAAGTTGCTATGAATATCTGGGTAAAAAAACTGATATTTCTAGAGTTTGGACTGACGGGAATGCAGAAGTGTAAAGAAGCAGGAAGTGCAGGACTGTCTATGAACCCATGGACCAACCTGTGCAAAAACTTAACGTCCCGGAAAGATCTCCTGTTATGCAGAGTGCACAGTTTTAGTTCTGATAAAATTAAATTATATACAAAATAATATTTACGACCAAAATATTTGTCATAGACAATCCGCACAAATCGTTTTCGTATATCTTAAATTTTTTACTCGCTGTACTAGACATAGAGTTTTAAATTATGGATCCAAATTCAAGTCTAGAGCGTACATGAGTACTGAAGAGTCGGAACAAACCATGATGAGTGCTAAATGGTCTAGTTAGGCGGGCCATTATTTCACCCATGCGCAGACTCTGGCTCATAATGGAGTTTATGTGAGAATTAAAAAAAAGGTGATCCTCCACAAACACCCTTATATCTTTATCTATTGTGGTCCGACTTATAGTTTCATTTCTCATACAGTGCATATAAGATAATGGGCTACGCTTTCTGGACACAGACATCACTTGGGTCTTTTCTATATTACTGACTTCGTTTGCAAAAGAGTAGGATTAACTGTTTTAGACGAAACACGTTATTGTTAAGAATGTTATGATTATTTCATCACGCTTTAAACTTTGAAAAAACCCATAATCACCCGTTGTCAACTTCTTTTATTACATCATACATTTATGACATTTTTGCATCAAAACTCAAAATCGCATTCAAAATGCAATATACAAAATGGTCATCAATGAGAGCGTACATAAACACGTCTCGTAACTCTGATCATGTGTTTACGGAAGATTTTTTGTTTGTAATATTGGCATATCTCGGAGGAGTATTGAGGAGTTTCCCACTTCTCTTTTTCTATGTTGGTTCCTGGGGTGAATTAAAACTCGTTCATATTATTATATATATCGGTATTGACGTTTTTACCGGATTATTCACTAATTGTATAGGGGTCTTGTGACCGATGTATAGTCTTCCTATTTGTGCATATTTATCAAGGCCATTGCTGCTCATAAATTAAAAAAAAATATTAATGAAGGAATGTTAAATGAGTACAGGCTACACCTGACGTGATCCCGCATCTATCAGTGAATGAAAAGAAAACTCTAACCAAAAAATGATACGGAGCCCGACGTTTCAAGGCCAGTTCGGCCTCTCAAGCTGGCTGACATAGTATGAAGGCAAGACTTCCTTAGTGCCGAACCCAGACACGTTAGAGCTATGCCTTTCTTGATGATTTTTGAGTGCGTCGAGCCGTAGTCGAGAATGGCTTTCTAGGATTGTGGGCTGTACGACCAACAAACATGGGTGTCCCCAAGGTGGAGCGAAAGATCCA